GGTACAGAATATACTTAATGTTACTCGTGTTCTAGAAAGCTAGGTGCATGCTGCTCTGTGGCTTTCCTGCCCGGGGAACACCACTACACCTCCCCGGGGATTGGGGTGAGGCTCAAGCCTTTGGCACAGGCTCTGAGCTCCTTGGAAGGGGGATCTGGGCTCCTTGGCCAGCCTCCTGCGTGTGGAGGCAGAATGGGCCACGGCCCTGAAAACCCGCATTCATACTCACCTGCCTGGTGGGATGGTCACACATTTATTTTCTGCTCTCCAGCTTCCTGTTCACCTTTGAGGTTCCCTTGAAGCTTTTCCCGCCAAGACCAGGACCTAATAGGAACTCCAAGCAACCTTGCAGTGGGTTTAAGAAAGTACATTTTAAAAGAATTTAAAAACGTGAATTAGACATTAAATAACCTAAAATGTTTAAAAACATTAAAGCCCTCACCTGGACTTCTTACTAGCATTCCCTGCTTTGTACATCTTCCTGTTAACACCTGTCACACTGAACAGGGAGGAAAAAGGAGTCACAGAAGTATCCTGGATAGGGCCAGGGTCAGAGAGTTCCAACTGTGAGCTTTAATAAAAGCATTTCACAAGCCACATTTCCCCCCCCTTTCTCCTACTTCTGTCTGGGCTGGGAGTTCTGCTTCTGTATTCAGTGTTTGGGCCTCTGTATACATGACAATCCGCGTGGGGCCCTATTGGTCTCAACAAAAAGTTGTCGACCCTTTACAGCAAATTTTATGCCAATGCCAATCTCACAAGAAAAGACCTCCAGTCTTCGGCGATTGGCCCACTTTAAAAAAATCATCCATACAGCCAGATCTCTACGTAAAATATAAACGGTCTCTTGGTGTTTCCTGCCACAAGATGGGACCTGGGAGACCTGGGATAGAAGCTAAAGGGTCCTGTCATCCAACTTTTCTCATGGGTCCCCAGTGCCGGCTTGTCGGGGGTGTCTGCTCAGGGGTGCAGCTCTCCATCAGAAGGGCTGGAGGGTGGGGTGGCCTGTGGGACCGTGCAGGCTCTGTGCCACCGCTGGGTGCGCGCGCATGCAGCCCGGCCAAGGTACCTCACTGCTCTCAGAAGCAAAATTCTTGACGCGGCACCCTCCGGCCTGCGGCTGCTCCCTGTAGGGTAAGGATCGGACTGACGAAGATAAAGTTTCCCCGGGCCCAAGTTCCAAAGTCGGCTGTTTTGTTTCTGTTAAAATGCAATTGTTTTTCTCTGGAGTGTGCAGTGACTGCTCGGCGTCAGGAAGATGTATGAAAGCCTCCACTTCAATTCAGCATCCCTTTTCTCCCAGACAAACACGGTCGGATTTTAATAAATCAAAGAGCCACACTGTTTAATAAAAATTTATTGACTTACAAGTGATTATTTATCAAAAGACCATTAATAGCAGGTACTGAAATGATGTGTTACTGGGTGGTGCTGAGGAGACTAATAGGAAATCAATGCAGCTGGCCGGCCGGAATGCATATGAGAAGCCCATCCCCCCGACGGCTGGCGCAACTGCACCGGCAAAATACACCAGACGCCACCCCTGCTGCAATGAAAAGTCCCCCCTTTTTATTTATCGTTTACAAATGAAATGATCAATACTTTTAATCTAGAGCAAAATTTATTAACTTTCCCATCGGAGAGAGACATATTGACTGGGGGGAGAGGGGGTGTTAGCGCCACGGAAGATGGATGGCCGCTTGGTCGTCTCTTAGCCTGTCCAAGAGCCAGTGTGCATGCAGCTGCCCTTCCGGCCTGCGGGTCCCAGGCCACAAGGCGTGCGTGCAATGGGAGAAATCGTGTCTGGCTGCCTGAGAGGTACAGCAGGCCCAGGGGACACGCACCACGGTGGACTCGCTCTCGCTGGTGTGTCACGGACATGGAAGCAGCGATCCCAGAGGCCACGGTGTTTTCGGGAAGTTCCCAGAAGGAACAGCGGGATCTCCAGACCCAGAACAGTTCTGCAGGACAGCTGCTGTTGGCAGGCTGCTGCCCCCAAGGGCTGGGCACGCAGGGCTCCGTGGGGCACTCCCTGCCCCCTCCCGGCTAGCCTCTTCTCACCTGGGCAGGGCAGCAGCAGGGAGCCGGGGCTGATGCGGTCCAGAATCAGGTTCGAAAGCTGGTTCTACTGTTGGAAGGCCATCATCTTCAACTGCTCCATCAAGCCGAGGCTGCTGAGATCTGGCCTGGCCCATAGCCGTCTACCGAGCTTCCTCTGACAGGGGAATCCCACTAGCCTTTCAAGAAAATTCCTTCTCTAACTAGCTGGACCAAAGATACCTCATGGTTGAGTGGAAACAGCTTTCCGAGATCCACATTCAAATCCACCCGGCCCCCCTTCACCTGACTTGGGAAATGAGAGCTAAAGTTAGAACCATGGTTTTTAAACTTACAGACATGGAAAGAGGTTTGGAGGCCATCTAGCCCAAGTCCTTAATTGTGGATCAGGGAATGGAGAAATAAAGTCAAAACAGTAAGTGAGTAGCCGGTTTAGAAGTGGGATTAGAGGTTGGCCAGGGCTCATCCCACCAACTGATGCCGTTGGTTTTATTCCAGAACCATCCTCACTGCTGCTAGGATCCTGAGTCTTCTGTACTTGGCTTTGCTTTACATGATTCTGTGGTTGTTCCTACGTGTTGTAAGGCTTTACCACCCAAAACCTGTCCAGCTATCCCAAACCAAGCATCTGACTTAGGGGTAATGGGGGGCCCGCAGGTCCCCAATTTAAAAAGGTGGTGTAGTGTGATGAGTCTCCATACTTTCAACAAGAACCAAATAAAAATTTTAGAAATTGCTTTTCTGGTGGGGGGGCGTAATTCACATCTCTTCTCTTTGTAAAATAGTACAATAACCCTTGCTTAGTTTCCACAAGCACATTTCTTTACACAGTAGTTGATTCTAACCCAGACTCTTGCAATACTCTGCTAGGTAACTGACAGGCATATTTTTAATATTCTGTTTTTAGTTTTTTCACATTCTTTTCAGCATACCTATGAAAATCATGATGTAAATGTACTAAACAACAGAGAGCTTTTTTTAAAAAGAACTTTTAAAAAAAGGGAACTTGAGCCTCAAAAACTGATTTTAAAGATTATTCTGGATGGTTTTTAAACACTATATTGTCTCCTCTAAAAGCTGAAAACCACTGTTTACTCTTTGTAAAACAGTTCATAAGAGGCTGTTCCTTAACAGTCAAAACAAGGTTTTTATTGGAAAGAAAAACCATTTCTCACTGGTTAGCAACAGGCCAGGTGAGAGCAAACGGGAGGCCAGTAAGGGAGGTAAAGGAACAGGAAGCAGTCAGGGTGGGGAAGACAAAGTGCTATCAAGTCAGCGTCTCAGGAGCAGGGCTGCCCTCCTGCCTCAGCCCCAGGCACAGCCCCAGGGCAGCCTGGGAGAGGCGACGCTTACGGTGGCTGGTGCAAATCCTGACAGGTGTCACAGCTATGCCTTGCTGGAGCCAGGAGCAGGAGTGTGAAGGGATGGACGGATAGGTAGATGGGCGGGGGGGGGGACGTGAAACTGGTACACCCTGAGAGCCAGAACTGGTGAGGGTTGTTTGGCTTGGGATCAGCCTTCACAGTGACTGCAGCTGGGCACAGGAGACCCAGGAAGCTCCCAGCTTTCCTCCGGCTGTGTGGAAGCCCACAGTGCACCACCTGCCCATCCTGTCCCCTCACGAACCCTTCCAGAGCCTCTGTTCCTACCTTGCTGCTTCCCACAGTCCTTACATCTGGACTGCCCTACCCTTGTCCCCAACAAATGGCACCTCTTCACACGCCTCTAATCCCAGGCACCCATCGGTGGAAACCTCCACACCTGTCTGTGCTAGAAATTCTAAGTGCATCAGAGAGATAGGCAAACATCTGATGGGGGAGTAGCTTCTTCTGAATGGTACTATTCCTCATTCCAGAAGCCAAATGGATTCCCGACAGTCTCGGGGTTATGGTCAAGTCAGAGGACTGTAACTCTATGAAGCATGTTGCTTAGGGCTACTTATAGGGGAAAAGAGTGAAGGGAAAACCCCTCAATTAATTGACCATCAAAGACATTTTATTTACTCACAAAAACAAACTCAAAGCCCTTTGCAGCAGCTCTGAGTTCAGACCTTTCCTGCCACGTTTCATGGACCTATACTTGTAACACTGAGCAACTTGTCCTTCAAAGTAGCACTTCGATCCCCACAACAACCCTGTGAGGTAGGTATGACCACCTTCCCCTCCTGATCCAGGTAACAGATGGGGAAACTGAGGCACAAGTTAACAGAGAGCAAGTCACATGGGAGTTCAGGATTAGCACTGGAGTCTGAACACAAAATGACTCTTGGTTCCCACCACGCCCTAGTCACTGGTCCACCGTGCTTCCTGCCATCCCCTCTGGTGACTGCTTGTGGGCAGGAGCACAGGATTTAAAACCTCATTTTGCCAAAAGCCCCCGCAGACAACAGTTTTCCTTTCACCCATTCTGCAGAGCTCCGAGGCTCAGGGCGGTGTTGTTTGGGCTGAAGCAAGTCACACTGCCTTGGCACTGCCTCTCCTCACAAGCGGAGGGGCCTTTCCTCAGCAAAGTCCCTGGCATATGGCATCTGTAACAGACTGACACCCTAACGTCCTGAACACAGGCACGTGGCCAAGGCTTCCCAACCACTCAGCCCCACACGTGCACAGGTGGAGAGCTGACTTTAATGGCATTCCTCCAATGGACTTAGTGTAAAAGAAACAAGAAGGCATCTCGTCCTGGGCAGCAACCCCCGGCAGTGCCCACTGCAGACGGTGCGCCCAGGGATCCCTGGGGCAGTTCTGAAACAGCTGGAGTCCTGGGATCCAGAGCGGCCTGAAGAGCCCCGGAGTTGGAAAGGATGCAGCAGTGGGGGCAGCAGGGGCAGCGGCGGCAGCAACTCCAGCTGGCTCGCGGGTCAGGATCTGCGAGCGGTGGCTCCCGCCAGCGCAAGGCGCGGGCTCAGGACCGGCTCCTATCCTCGTGGTTCCCAACAATCATCTTGCTGTACAGCTTCTGCTGCTCCTCTTTGAACGTGTCTTTCACCTTCTCCCTCTTCAGACCACCATCCCTGATGAGAGAAAAGTCTGCTGTCACAGCAAAGAAGGCCTCCTATCCACCCTTAGATCACAGCACCACGCTGCTCAAAACCCCAGAAGAACCCTTCTGAAACAAAAGCTCTCCATGGCTCTCTCCCTCCTAGGGTGACCTCACATACTGACCTGGCCCTCCCCAATTTTACCACTTCTGCCTTAAATCTTTCACTCCTGCCCTGGGGTCATAAGTCAGTACTCACGTTCAGGGTACTTTTGTCATTGCTCAAACCTACCTACCAAGGAGTTTACAACGCTTTCTACTCAAACGTTCACCCTCACCTTACTGAAGATAAAGGAGGCATTCTGGCATCATGGAAGGTGAGCCAGCTTTAAGAACGACTGAAACTGTAATGAATCTGTAAATCTGATCTGTGAAATGGTCTGTAAAATTCAGACCCAGAGATTCATGCCAACAATGAACGTAAGGGAACTGCGAGTCCTTACTTCTTCTGTGCTTGAGGGATGGTGCTGGAGAGGAATCCAAGTCACGCCCATACTCCTGTGCTCATGGCCCCGGCGAGACCTCCCTCTGCTATCCCCACACTGGGATTTGTTTCCTCAAAGTCCCACTCACCTTCATGCTAAAATTAGCATTACCTACCTTCAGTGACTAACAGAAACCCCAGTCCCTTTTCAGGATTTCTGCTACACCCGGACTTCCCCTTTGAGGTATGATGAAGCCCGCCCCCATCGCTGGACAGACCTTACACCCAACGCTCTTATATGTGTGATGCCCTTTACAATCCACAGCAAGGGCTCTCTTTTAAAGGGAGCCCCACTTGTCCTCCTGGAGCCCTGCGGCCAGGGAGTGTGGACTGACACTCCAGTTCGAGCAGCCTGTCAGACCTGAGCTCAGAATCTGGTCCACTGATTACTCGGGGACTCTGGAAAACAGTCACCTGACCTCTTTGAGCTCTGGTGTCTCACATGTGAAACAGGAGTGACAATCCCCATCCCGCATGGGTCCACGGCGAGGGCCGAGTGAGGCCGTCCTCTCCGGCGCCAGCGACACGGAGCCTGGCTCACAACGAGAGCTGGAGGAACGTGAGATTTTTAAAAGGCCATACCTGAGGACATGCCATTACCTAGGAATCCCCACGTCAGTTTAAAATTTCAATCTCTATATCCTTTTCCCTAAATGCCCACTTTAGTCAAGTGCCCAACAGAGCTGACCTTTGCACTTAAAACGAAGGGTGCCGGAGGCAGCAGCTGCAACAGTGGCCACACGATACACAAAGTCTAAAATATTTACTGACTCTTCACAGAGAGAGTCTGCCAATGCCTGCTCTAGTAGGTTAACAAACTAAATGTAATAAATGAAACTTCTGCCTTTCTAAGGATGGCCCAGTTTTACCAAATATTCAAGATCAGAGGGACCAGTTAATGCAGCTTCCAGACCAGCATCCAGTCACCCCCACCTAAAGAGACAAGGACTGTCTGGGTGCCCTGGCAGATGGGTACAAACCCCGGAAGATTCGAAGAATCAACTGCTTTGGGCCCAGCATTCTGGGCTCTGTGTCTCTAAGGTCAAGGCAGCATGGGGCACTTCTGAGCTGAACTAGGAGAAAGCAGTCACACTGCTCATTCTCCAAGGCTGATGAGCTTAATTTTCCACACCAGGGAGAGGAGGATTCTTTGTAAAAGGAGTCAACAATTCAGCATCTACTTCAGAAATTCACATCCTGCTCGACTCTGCTGATAAAACCTGGCTCTGACTCACCACAGCAGGTCCACAAGCCCCCCCTGCCTGGCAATGGCGGATTTCACCCTATTGGCAAACTGGACGGCATCTTCATCGGTCTGTAAGAAAGCATAAATGAGACCCCTCAGTATGGGCTGGCATCCCACAGAAGGAAGCCAAGACCTGTGCATGGTGTCGGGGCGAGGACCTACCTCTCTGGTCATGGGAGGCAGGTACCAAACGCTGCAGACAATGGCCCAGCTGGTCATCATTCGCAGCAGGTACGTTACCATCCCGTATTTGCTGCTGTTCCAGAAGGCGTCACCAAATTGAGGGTCATACTGAAAAGCAGTGGAAAACTGGATGGTAATAAGTCAGCAATTCTAAAATAACGTGGGTGTCGACGGCAACTGGTGTTGACTGCTCACCTGGGGCAGTATCAGTTCCAAAAAGCAGCTCCCAGACCCCCTCCATGAACACTTTTGAAGCCATTCGATGCTCGCGTAGTTCTGAACTCTAGCAACATGAGGCCCCCAAATGGACTCAAGATTTTGCTTTAGGTCACGAGGGAGGACTCCCCTACCTGCTTTTCTCAAACAAGTGAGCCCCCTCTTTGACCCATTTCACGTCTTCCTCACTCACAGATGTAATTCTTTTTTTTTTTTTTTTTTTAAAGTTTTTTTTTTTTTTACAGAGGGAGATCACAAGTAGACAGAGGGGCAGGCAGAGAGAGAGGGAAGCAGGCTCCCTGCTGAGCAGAGAGCCCGATGCGGGACTCGATCCCAGGACCCTGAGATCATGACCTGAGCCGAAGGCAGTGGCTTAACCCACTGAGCCACCCAGGCACCCCACAGATGTAATCCTTAAAACATGTTCAAGCATATCCCAAACCAAAGAGAACAGGGTAAGATACTCTTATACCTCCATTCCCCAGATTTAACCTTTAGAACATTCCACCACACAGGCTTTGCCTATTGCCAACACCGCGTCGCTCACTCATCCCTACTGCTACACGTACCTCACCCAAAGACACCAACTTGCTAGTATTTCTGGTGCCCCTGACCAAGGAGAAAATGACAAAGCTTCTGAGAAGCTTCTGTGACGACACCACTAACAAAGCTGACCGTGAGAGCAGGAGGCTCTGCTCTGATCGCGTTGCTGGCATTCCTCCTTGGCAAACGCGCGCACAATAGCTCCCGAGGCCTCCGCCACGCAGGTGCCGCGCTTCCTGCCAAGCAGCAGACCCACTACACTGTCCTTTGCCAGTGACTCTAATGGAAGCAGAGGCTGCACGTCAGTGGCATTCTGTGGGAAATGTGGCTGAAGCTGTGACCTGCAGTGTCACCCAATAGAAGGGAAGCTGAAGTAGCAGGTAAGCAAGACGGGGAGAAAGGTGCCAGAGGAAGTTATACAAGAAGCAACAAAAGGAACGGAGTCCTGGAAGACAACACCTGGACGGAGTGTCCTGCAACCGCCAGCAAATGTCCGAGGTGCCACCACAGACACGACCTCAGGCTGTGACCGTAATGCAAAGAGGAGGACAGAGTGTGGAAACGGGAAGAGAAGAACGGCAAGAGTGATGGTGCAGAAGCAGGCTGCCACTGGCGTCAGAAAGGCTCACAGGCTTGGTGAGACTCTCAGGCTGCCCCTCTCCCCCTGGAGCAGCCTGAGAGGAGCCCCAGAGGGGACGCTGCGGGAGCCCAACGTGAGGGGTCGGGGCTGGGTGCAAACCTCAGGCCTTGCAGGCTCCTCAAGCCTAGATTTTATGATTCTCGAACAGAGACTGGATAATTGTGCCTAGCCGTGGACCTGACTACGCAGGAGCGAAGACATTTAGACTGAATTACGGACTAAATGAAGAAATTTAGATTCAACTATTACATTGTAATAGCAAAGGGAAATCGGGGAGAAGAATGAGTTTTAAATAGAAACTAATGCCCATGTTTTGAAGAAAGTGGTGTTATCTTTGATAAAGCACTATATGTATAAAATAGCTGACATCGTACGTGAGAGCCCTGTGTTTAGAGCGGAATCTCTGTTCCACGCTGGGCTGATAGTGTAGAGAGAAAAACGAGGCAAAAACTCAAAATCGTGATAAATTTCTCAAAATCAAATAATGGCTTAATTTTGGTGGAAATATAACAGCCTTGAAACTGCTAAGGTTATCTAAATTTGGTTACCAATGAAGGCTTTATAAAAACTAGCAAAGTTGTTGTAGAGAAGTTCTTAATCCTGAATGGGTTTTAATAAATCTGGACAGAATGAAATTATATGTAAAACTGATGGGACTTTCTGTTTGGAGAGGAGCCATAACTGTCCTAAGAGTCCATGTCTCAAAACAGTTTAAGACCCACTGCTCCACAGCAGGGCTCCCCAAGTGTGGTTCCCACCGGCCCATCCGTAGCACCCAGGAACAGGTCAGAAACGCAAGTTCAGAAACAGCCAGCAGTCTGCGTTCTCCTAGTCCCGCCACAGGTGACACCGATACAGCTACAAAGGACTCATGTTCTGGAGCGAACACTAAGGAAGGGCTCTTCTCGTTATGTTTTTAATGCACACGGGCGGGGAGCACTGGATACTGAACGCAGGACGGGATGCAGGTGACACGGACAGCAGTCCCCAGGCTCTCCTCCCCCAGCAGACATTGCTACCACACTGCTTGCTTTCTTGCTGTTCCGGTACACAGTACCCTCGACAGGTGGCTTGGGGACTGCGACCTATGGATCAGTCAGTTCTCCTCCAGCCACTATGCATCTGGCACTCCTGCCCCAGTGCTCTGCCTCCCTGGTAGAGGGGAGCGCTGGATGGGAAGCACTGGCTTTCCCAAGAGAAACACCCTGCCTCCCCTGCATTGGCCGAGCTAAGTGACACTGATTCAACAGAAAGCTCTGCACATGGCACGCAGACCCCGTGAGAGGATGGACACTAAATGCTAAGTATAACAAGCACACACGTCCTTGCTGTTCTACCTAGCTGCGATTTCAGCTTAAGCACTAAACACACCGACAACAGCCTGTGCTGTGTAGACGTAATAACGTGAGTAATAACACTCTTTTAGAAACAGCACGATGTATGCCTTCATAAAACCAGATGGATGTAAAGGCGGAGAGAGGAAGAAAAGAGGAAAATGACTGACTGAATCCCATTTACCCAGTGAGTTTGAAGTACAAGCTCCTAAAGTGGGGGACAGCCTAGACAAGCTCTTAAGATGTATTTCATCTTTATCAGCGGCTCCTGGTATTTACAGTGATACCAAAGCCCAAAGCTGTGCGGCTGCTTCTTCCTTCAGTATTAGGACATATCTGCAGCCACACATGCTCACCTCTCCACCAAACGTACACATCCAGCAGGGCCACACCCCTGCTCCCCGCAGCATGGCCCTCTGTAGCGGAGTACCTTCCCCGCCTGGGAGGCTTACGGAGAGGTCATAAGTGGGGGACAACATGCAAGCTTGTGATCTGGTTGATGGTCCTCATTCGGACACTCCTGTCCCTTCTAGCCCAGTGGGTTCTGAACCGTGAACATGTCCCTTCTCTTCCTCTAGCACACTCTACCTACACTATCCTGGCCCAAGCTGCCCCGCTGGAGGATCAACCCGCTGACTGGTGATGCCACCTTCTCCCTCCCCTTTCTCTTCCTGCATCCCATTCACAGCAGCTGCAACAATGACCACACGCGCCCTCAGAGGTCTCGTACCTTGATAGCAACAGGGTAAACTGTGGCTCCAATTTCAAAACTTCCCTTTTTGAACATCATCACTGATGTATTATTGATGCAGGTTCCTAAAACACAGAAGAGAGTAAAATGCGCTTTCTTTTGGTCCTTCACCTCAGAGATTAGGAGTTTAAGAACTAAATATAGTAAGAGAAATTCTTCAAATAGGATAATCTCCCTAGCTTAGGAATGAACTCTTAACAGGGATAAGCAAAACACTGTACTGTTTCTCATTCTGCTATTGCAAGATCACTTTCCCCAATTAACACACCCAGCCTCAATAAAAGGCCAGAGCCACTGAGCGGACCTGGGAGGTCTCAGGAAGAACTCTAGAAGAAGCTGAGACCCCAGTGGCATGTCACAGAAGGGATTCCTGTACTGGGAAGGTCGCACTTTGGCACTCCCAGTCCAAATGCTGCACTTCCCAGAGTTTTTAAGTCCCACAACCAGTTTAGTGGGGGACTGAACATCAGTCAGTGAAAACAGATAACCCCAGCCAGGGTTGAGGGACTTGGTTCTGAGGCAACAGCAGAGTCACCATCCTGCATGGCCTCCCCACCCTCCCATACAGAAACCCTCTGCAGGGCCCCACCCCTTCTTACCCTCTGGGAAGATGAGGATGGGTAGCTTGCTTTTATCCTGCACATGCTCAGTCAGTCTTTGGAAGGGAAAAAGAACACAGAGGCTCAGACAGCTTTACATCCATCATCACCAAAATGTACTTGTAAATATGCTACATGGAGGTCACACAAACCACAAATGTGATGATCTCTGACAAACCCCAGTCTGGATCTCATAAAGACCAAACATATAAAGACAGGGAAAATCAGATGACTGCAGTTTAACTCGTACAGCTGTTCAGTGAAGTATTAAGGTCTATGTAGAGGACACTGCTCAGACCTGGGACAACCTAAAGGACGTGACTGCTCCAGGGCCTTGCTAACAGCACCCTCAAGAAGCACTTGTCACTGGACTTCCGGACAGCCACGTTGGATTGAACGTGCAGTCCACCTGGCTTAATACTGTCCCTGAGAAAAGCAGTAAAGGGAATCCGGGGTAGGCTCATCTGTCCCTGAAGAAGATGGTCCCAACTGAGCCTTCATCCTCTCAGTTTCCTGCAAAGCTCTTGCCATTATGTACATCAGCTCTACCTTTTTCCCGCTGCCTTAAGTTTGTTTTTATTTGTGATAATGAATTCATCCCGAGATTTCAAATAGCATTAAAAGTTCATATGTGGTTCATTACAATGAGTACAAGGAATAAAAAAGGTTAAGAGAGATTACAAACTTGACAAAGAATACCAAGATTTCTATACTTCTTCTATTCCATATTTTAGGGAAAAAGTGTTCTATTATGAAAGCAGTGAGGACTCAGTGTAGAAGACACTATGATTCTACCGCAGAGGGATAACAACCCCTAAAGCACATACATCCTAACTGATCACAGAGAGCAACCGGCATTTTGTGGATTTACCTCTTAGCCACCAGGTGGCGATCTTTCACTTCAGAGCGTTCAAACCAGACGTGTGGGCAGGCCTTCACCATGGCTCTCTGGATCACACCCATGAGTCCCCCGTGCACTTGACCCACCTAATTTCACACAAAGGAATAACCATAACCGGGAGTGAAGCCACCCTCACACACAATCCCCACTATGTGGAGACAGCCCCAGAATCCAAAAGGAAAGTATCCCAACCTCTTACCCTCTAACATTTTACTGACAAGAGTAAGTTTCTCACTATTAAGAAACCATTATTAGACTCTGAATCTTTAATTTTGCCTTTTATTCAGTGATATCAAAGATACATTAAAAACATAGCTGAAAACCCGAAAAGAAATAATGAAGCTGAGTAATACCTCGTGTAAAAGTGATTTTCCTGGGCAGATTCTCTAATGCACTTGAACCCAGTCCTTTCAAATCCCCCTTCCCTGTCCTTCACCCCTTTCCATGGTCAGCCTCAACACCCAAAGGATAACCTCCAACCGCGCTCTTCGTTATCAACCTACTCAGAAGACCTCCTATCAAAGTCCCACGGAGTTCTCAAAGCAACAGAAACAGAGGCGACAGTCTTACATGTTCCCATGTTTATATTCTTCAGGAAGAGCTCTCTGAAGGGTCCAGAAACATCCCAGCCCTGAGCATGCTAAAGGTCTTACTTGCCCAAGAAAGCAACAGAGAAAGGTCTTACCATGGCATAATAGCCATCGCTGGCCAAAATGATGACGTCGATTGGAGAGGTGTGATTGGCCACGCAGATGCCACCGTTTCTGGGCCTGTTTTCTCTGTGTTTAGAAAGAATGCAAAGCAATAAAATCCATGTGAAACAAGTGATCTGGAACTCAGCCCTTACTTCACCCACCTCATGGGCTCCAGGAGCTCAGAAGAGCCCTCACTGGCGAGGTGCAGGTGAGCCGTGGTTGGCCAGTGCCAGTTCCCCATGTCACACAATGTGCCCTCACCTGTCGTGGTAGGTAATGATGGCTGTCAGGGCTCGCACGCAGATCCGGTAACACATTAAGTGAACGTGTTTACTCAGGAACTCCTTAAACCTGGTACGACAGGACACAGATTTTTTTTACTTTACACATAGGAAGTCGGGAGAAGTTATGGGCTGGAACAATGTAACCATCCCTGCCTACAGCCCTTTAGGACTGCAGGCTATTTTTATAAACATTAGTGCATATGGTAAAACTCTACAGTGCACGAGTGTCTTTATGCCTACATATGAGGAAACAGAAATGACAAGAATTGCTTCAATTTACCAAAGTGACTGGGTTTAGAATTTATATAGCCCTCAAATATCCAGCAAATATGAGCCTCCTTGATTATTTTCCTTCCAGTCAATGCCTACAGGCAGGGCAAAGGACAGAGTCTCTAACCTCACCAGCCCAGGGAAGAAGAGAGCTAGTCCCAGAACTCCCAGAAGGAACAAATTTCTCTTAAAAAACAACAACAGGGTTTTGTCTGGTCAACGGGGAGCCTGCTTCCATCTCTCTCTCTCTCTCTCTCTCTCTCTCTGCGTGCCTCAAGTAGGCAGGTCTCTGTCAAATAAATAATAAAATCTTAAAAAACAACAACAACAACAAGAAGGGGCACCTGGGTGGCTCAGTGGGTTAAGCCTCTGCTTTTGGCCCAGGTCATGATCTCCGGTCCTGGAATCAAGCCCCGCATCGGGTTCTCTGCTCGGCAGGGAACCTGCTTCCCCCCCTTCTCTGCCTGCCTCTCTGCCTAGTTGTGATCTCTGTCAAATAAATAAATAAAATCTTAAAGAAACAAAACAAACACAAAAAAGCCCTACCTATATTTCTTTTCCTTTTACCAATTTATCAACACAGTAGAATGCTCAAAACTAAATGACATGCCATTAAATCTGCTGGCCCTGGACTCCAAAGTTGGGAGGTTCCTCCCTTGTCTTAGAGGGATAAGAGTGTGAGTTTTAGAGGGTAAAGAGCAAAGTCACAGATCAAGACTGGTGAAAAATAACAATGCTGATGCCACTGTTATCACTGGGTTATCTTATCTACCTAAGATGCTGCAGGTCTGGCTGTGCTCCGACGAGTAGTGCAGCTGGAGTGACAGCTGCGGAGCTAAGTGCCCTCCAGACACGGACTCTCGCAAACAACTCACCTCCCATTTGGCAGGTATCCCACCACGGTCGTGCCTACCACCAGAAGGCTAATCCCAGTAAAAGCAAGAGCTATCCTGTAAGAAGAAGACACGTGAAAACACAGCAAACAAACCCTTGCACTACAGATAGACTGGAACGTGTGACAATGAAAGTGGACATCACGAAAACCACCCCCAAGACCATCAGATCACATAGGATCCAGGTAAGAGTTTCATCTAGAAATGAGAGCAGGCCTAGCATACCCAGATATCATTTTAATTCCAAACTGACAGTAGGCTATGGATTTGGCTCTCAGCGGACACTATCTCCCCCAACATCAGGCAGCCAGCAGAAGGATGGAAAAGCCTGCTGTTGGCCTCTCTGCCCCCAGGCACCTGCTGTCCTGCTGCCTTAACCTTCCCTTTGGCTCCACACCCTGGCGAAAGCAGAGCTTCTCTGTGGAGCAACAGGAAGTAGAGCCTGAAGGTACCGGCAGCTGGCAAGGCGTACTCAGAATAGCACATGGTACAGAAAACCTGAGAGTTCAATATTGCCTCTGTATTAGAGAGGCAAGCTTGCAGGAAAGACTTGGTCATGTCCAGGGAGGAGTGGCCAGAAAGTACACCATGTTCCCTGTCCCTGTGTTTAGGCCACCTAGACGAGCATTTTAAGAAACCCCACGATTTCTGCCTGATTTGCAGAGAATCCAAGGGCCTTTAAAAGATCACCCCCAGTGTACCCTTCCAAGAGTCGGACGGTCTCCCTCCCAAGAGACTGGCCAGTGACAGAATCAAACTCTGCTCCTTTCTGAAGAGGGAAAGCAAAGCAGAGTGACACAGGGAGGTCAGCCACACCTCAGGCTTAGGCAGCAGCCACTCAAGCCTTTTGTCCCTGTCAGGCCTGCCCTCACCTGAGTGGCAGAAGGAAGCAATAGCGAATCAGCACTCCTAAGCCCCACAAGACAGTGAGCCGAAGGCTGATGTACTGGAAGTTATAGTTGGTCCTGCTCAGCAGGTTCCAGGACTCCAACTCCTCTGCTGAGAACCTCTTTGTCACCTCATCATCCATGATGGTCTCCATTCCCTTCCGGCAAAAGTAGAAAATGTCGGAAAGCTCAAATTCTGGAGTGTTATCCAGAGCCTTACTACTACCACTTCGACGGATTTCTTTGATCTCTTCTTCTAGCGAAGTGGGATCTTTTGCAATGATTCCTGTAACACAGAACACCCGTGTCACGCAGCATGCTGGGAGGAAACATGTTAAAAATATTCAGAGTCCAGGGGCACCTGGTGGCTCCGTGAGTTAAGCAGCCAACTCTTTGGTTTCAGCTCAGGTTACGATTTCAGGATCCCTCGTCAGTCTCTGTGCTCAGCATGGAGTCTGCTTGTCCCTCTCCCTCTGGTCCTCCCCCTGCTCACACTCTGTCTCTCAAGTAAATAAATAAATAAATGAGTAAAAGTCTCTAAAATATATAGAGTCCATATACTCCCTTTGATAGAGTGAAGAGTATGTGTGGAATTAAAAGCACTTAGGAACATATGTCAAAGGGACTTTGTGAGATAAGGAGAAAGAGCCAGTCCTACCATTGGTGTAGGGCTTGTAAAGTTGGTGGTTCTTCTCCTTGGCGCCTCTCTCCATCCTCAAGGTGGCCCACTGTAGGGAGAAATGACAACACAGAGAATGAGATCCTTCTTCATACAGCAACTGACTCCATATCCATTCTGGGAAAAGCCTCAATCCCAGTCACCTGAGATCACACTGTAGCTGAGAAAGCACCCACTCTAAAAGGAAAGTCAAAGCTTCTCCTTCTAGAGCCATCTCCCTCCTTGATGACAAGGAACAGAAGATGAGTCACCTAGAGTAGAGGCCTGGAGACTCCAGAAATTTGGGTATATTTCTCAGGCCTAGGTTCTCTCCGCCTACATCTGTCTTCAGGGCACCTAAGGAGTCCACAGGCTGGCAGCACACAGACCTCTAGTGTTTCTCTCCCTGCTGAACAGCAGCTGTTCTCAAACAGCAGAACCAAGCATCCTTTAAGCAACCGCCCACCACCTGATGCTGCCTACCTCCCCAATTACTCCAGAAGCAACAATTTAAATAATATATATGTCTAGACTGTCCATCCAGCTCTGAGCAGCCTTGTAATAGAAGGACCCCCCAACCTGATACAGAAGGGCTTAGTGTTAAACAAAAATACACAAAAACTCCATTTGGAGATTCAAAACAAACAAAAAAATCTAATTGGACACTAATGCTAAGTCCCTTAAGCAACTCATCCCAATTCATCTTTTCTATCTATAAAATAGGACTGATAGTATGTCAACTTCCTGCTTCATGGGGTCGCTTAAGATCAAATGAGACCATATATGTGACAGAACTTGGGAAACTGTAAAACGCCCTAACTGTCCTCACTGTGACTGAAATAATGATGGCCTCTACAAGACATCTAGAAAAGAAGCCTCTCTTCCTTACCATCTGTCTACCTGCGGTAAGCGAGCCAGGGTCTCACCCACTACCCCATAAGTACAGGTGAAAACGCGCTCGCTTATCCCTAACTGGAGTATGTTATCACCGTATAGAGAGTGAAGTCCATGGCAAGTCGAAGAAACAGAACAGATATTTTAAAAGGCATCTTTTTAAACTTGTTTCTACAGTTATGCAAGGTGAGAGAGAACCCTGTCATCCCGTGACGCAGCAAAACCCACACAGCCCGAAGCATTTGGTGTATACTCTGCTGGCAGAGCCTCAAGTATCAGCAGATGGCTCTGGGTGGTCTGGCAGAGCCAAAAGCAGGACGTGAGTTTTTCATCAGTGATCTGACCTCATCTGGAAATTTCTTCAGACACCACTGTCTAGGAAAAACACAGCTTAGAGTCACTCGCTCAGAAGGGGTCTAAGGCAAGAAAACCCAAAGCCCATTTTCTATACTTCAGATATTTAGCGCTGATTTTTCTGGCTCTACGCATGGATGATCTCTTCTAGAAGAAAATATAAACAAAACTCCTACAATGGAGGAAGGTAGACTCCACCTGGGAATTCCATCTAGGGAAGAGGTGAACTGGTGACCAGGGACAAGAGGATCTAGCAAGGTGACATACAGACACAGGCCTCTCAGCTGGTTTGCGGGTTTCCACTCTGGCCAAGTCTGCAACCACAGTCAGAACCAGAAAAACCCGGTTCCGTACTGACAATTCTGAAACTCAGAGGAGGCTGCCATATATGACATCCAGCCTCTGAGCACTAGAATTGAAGTCTGTGAGGACTGCTTCACTCTGCAAAACTCAAGATGGCTGTGGTGTTTGACCTGGAAAGGTATAGGTTAAATGAGCCCCTCCATCTCCTAGCTCTATCACAGAGCTGTCACCAACATCACCTTACCCTCCCTTTTTCACACTTCAGGTATGTTACAAAATGCTTCTGTGTTTAGGAGAGAAGTGCCCAGTCACAGGGCTGGAGGGACCTGGCTGTTAGATGGGAAGAGCCTGTTCAGGAGGAGCGGCTGATGGGTGAACCGGAAAGCCGCGGCCCGATGCAGAAGACCGAAGGAAAGGGGTGCCGCCCATGAGCAGTGTCTGGTAACTCCACCGCCGGCTTCCCTGAGTGCTCACTTGCAGAGCTATAGCATTCAGACATGCAGAACAAAACTGAGAAGCCTAGGTTCAGAGCTCATTCCTATAAACCTCCTCTCCTCCCCCTGACGTGAGATGCCATTTACCGAGCTACTGAGCATCAGATTACTCAATTACTCCAGTCTCAGCCTCTCCCAGACAAAGAAGAGACCATTTAAGGGCATTAACAATGCTGCACTCTTAGGTAACATCAAAGCCAAGGCAGACCTTGGCAGGTGAAAGGCAGGCCCAGCTCCCAGAAAGGCAGAGGATGCAATGGTGTACTTTTGCTAGTTATTCATTCTACTGAACACTACAATTTAGGAATTAACCATAAGTCACAGACTTAGCAACCTAATATCAGCAGAATCCACCTCTTTTTCAGTCAGCCCCGCTACACTGTCCCATGAACTAACTATATATATCCCAAAGAGCAAGACCCTTAGAAAATTCAGGCTCACATCATCCAGCACGTCTAGTCCCCTGCAAACACCACCTCTTTTAACAACTCTCTCTTCTCTCCCTGCTTCAGCTGTAACCTCTAAGTAGCTACTAGCAAATGTGCAAATCTTTACTTCACTGAAGTGCCAACCGCACACTCCCGATCGCCTGCTGGGCATCTCCCCATGCAAGTCCAACCAGCCCTCACGAGCATGCTGCAAATTAAAGACAGCACACCTCCTCCCAACCCCGAAAGTGCTCCCCTCCCTCTGGCCCACCTCCTGGGGCCAGTGGGATCACTATCCCTCTGGTCATCCAAGCTTTCGAGTTTCCCATCTGTCACCAAGTCCTATCGATCCTGCCCTGAAAAGGCACTCTTTCCCAGCTGCCTCCTGGGCGATGGCATCACGTTCGCCCCCTAGCTTATTCTCTTGCCTGTATTAATGCCATGGCAATTCAATGGCTCTTTCCTCCCTTCAAGCCACCCGACACATGCTGCCAGTCTGATGTCACTTCCTTGCTCAAAAACCTTCAATGGCTTTTCAATGCCTAGAGAAACATTTGCTTTTATAATTGACCTCACCCTTCTGTGCACCCAATGTTTTTGCTCCACTAAGCTACGTACAGTCTCTAAGCCTCTAATTAAGTAAGTCCCTAATTAAAGTAAGTCTCTTTAAGTACAGTCTCTAAGTAAGACTGTACTTTCTTATCTGCACTTCTAGAATGGCTTTTCCTTTTTAAGATTCCAGTTCAAATGCCAACTCTGCTATGAAACATCATCTACCCAATTCCTGTGGCGCTCGTCCTTCCCAGTGTATATGAATTAGCATCCAACTGTGAATTAGTTATGTATGCGTATACTTGTCTTTCTTACTAGACTGTAAAACCTGAGGAACAGGAGCCAGAAGCAACCTGTGTTCTCACTCCAGCAATCTGAGAGAGGGTCTTGCACTTAGTAGGCCATCGCTAAGGGCTGCCTTGAACTCCCAGTGTTTCTCTCCATCAAGGTCTCCATGTGAAAAGATAAGAGCGGAAAGGATACAACCTACAACTACTTCCCATCACCTTCCCTGCCAGAGTCATACTCTCACCTTCTTCAGTTCATCCTCTGAGCTCATCAGGGTTATGTCAAAGTCACCCCTTTTCACTGGGGTAGGGAGGACATGCCTGACTGACAGGACTGCTTTCACTAGAAGCATATGAAGCAGGGGTTATGGCTTCTACTCTGCAGATGAAGCAGCACATGGGAAGTCTAACAACTTAGGTCAAGTTTCAGAGCTCATCAAAGAGCCCTGGATTTCAAGCTAAGGGCCACTAACTCAAAAACTCATGCCCATCCCACTACACACTCCCACTGTACAGCCCTCTTCAATTTCCTCACAACCACCACTGGCTTTCTAGGACTCCATCAGCCACTTCCGCTCTAGAATCTCATGTTTACAACTGCTGTAATGTTTACAATGGTCTCTGACCTGACCTGATCAAGCCCTTGCCCATGAGGCAAAATCACCCAGGTCATTTCTTTCCATCTCTTTGTTTCCAGGCTTCCTACTTTCTCCCTCTCCAAACCATTCTCAACTCAATGGAAAGCCACTTCCAGGACTTGTACCCCAATAATACCATCATTACTATATTGAGGGTAAATATGAAGCACCAACATTAAGAAAACAACACTTGTAAAGAACACTGCTGCGCTCTGCGCACAAAAACCTTCTGCAACTCAGCACCAGACAGGACCTACACTCAGTCGACTAAGTCTTCCAGAACAGGGAACCGAGAAGACAGTGACCCACCTACCTTCTCCCCTTGGCAGGGATACCGGGATTCATTTTTATACAAGGATGCGCTGATTATGGGAAACTAGCTGTTAAGCCAGGGCTTGCTTAGTTCTGCCAAAAGCACAAGTCCAGGTACTGCATGGACCAACAGGATATGCATTATGAAGATTACTTATTAAAAATGGCCAATAAAATCCCAAAAGAAAATACAGATACAAAATTAGATATACACACTATTAACATAACCATTAAAAATGAATGCAGTTGTCAAATACTGAAAGGTAAAACATGTACAAGAATGTTAAGGTATTAGAAGCTATGTAAACATGAATGAATGTTTAAAATTCTTTAACATTATATTATTTGTCTGGTTCTCTATTGCTACGTAACAAACTACCCCCTAGCTCAGAGGCCTAAAACACCACCACCACTTATTTTGCTCATGAAACTGCAAACTACATGAAGTTTGCCATCGGCTAGGTGGCTGGAAGACCAAGGACTGGGGTCCTCTGCAGACTGCTCGCTCCTGCATGGAGCACTCGATGTTGGCTGTCAGGGCCTTCCTGGGGCTGTGAGATGGAATACGGAACACGTGGCCTGGGCTTCCTCACAACACGGCGGCTGGGTGCCAGGGGCAAGCACCCCAACAGACAGAAGTTATACTGCCATTTCTAACCTAATCTCACCTATTTCACAGTATAATTCATGTCCACTACGTTCTGTTTGTTAGAATCAAGTCAAAAAGCAGGACCCCCTATTCAAGAGGAAGTCAATCACACTCCACCTTTCGATGGCAGACCTCAGAATCACCTGGGGAGTTTTAAAAATATACCCATCTAGACCAATTAAGTTAGGATATCTGGGGAGATTCTACTGCTCCCAAATAAGTACTTTAAAATGCTTCCCCAGGTAATTCATAGGCAGTGGGGGGATATACCCACAGAATTAAGGTGCTCTCTGAGCTTTCCTCCAGCTCCAAAATTATACATAGCAGTCTGATTTAGGAAGGATAAAGAGGCTAAAAGTAAAATAAGTCTATTAAAAACACCCACATATGTAGAAGTAAAATGCTTGACAATAATAATTCAAAGGATAGTAAAGGAAATGGAATTAATATTGCTAGAATTTAAAACAAAACAAAACAAAACAGGACAAAAAACACCCACAAGTGGGGCTCCTGGGTGGCTCAGTTGGTTGAGCGTCTGCTTTCAGCTCAGGTCATGATAGCAGGCTCCCGGGACTGAGTTGATTGGGCTCCTTGCTCAGCAGGGAGGTACCTGATTCTCCCCCTGCCTGACGCTCTTCCTGCTTGTGCTCTTTCTGACAGATAAATAAAATCTTCTAAAAAAAATTAAAATAAGGGGCGCCCGGGTGGCTCAGTTCTTAAGCGTCTGCCTTCAGCTCACATCATGATCCCAGGGTTCTGGGAATGAGCCCCACATGGGGCTCCCTGCTCCGCAGGAAGCCTGCTTCTCCCTCTCCCACTCCCCCTGCTTGTATTCCCTCCCTTGCTGTCTCTAATAAATAAATAAAATCTTAAAAAAAAAAACAACTTTAAAAAAATAAAATAAAACCAGTTTGGCCAAATCCAACTTGAGTCTAATACAAATCCTGCTAGCATTCAGTTCTTAACTGTCCATTAAGGTCAACTCAGAACAGTAACAGAGTCAGAAAAGACCAGACATTCCTGCAGAGCACCTATAACCTTGCTGGAATGGTATCAGTCCTTTCTAGCCCACCCCGACTCTAGCTTATACGCCAAGTTGTAATTATCCATGCAGCTCAACAGGACAGCACCCAGAGTACCCAGAATCCTTTCAGTGCCTGATATACACATCTCTAGGAAATAGAAGTACAAATCCAGTTCTTGAAATCCTAAATCTTGAGGTCAAAAATGGGTACATACATAAATATACACACATATGCCAAAATCACTTCTAAATCACTGTGCCTTAAACTAGCGATTTTCGAGACATGATCAGCAAAGAAAATTCTCTGATGGCCCAAGATTACCTACCCCATGGATCGACCCACCCATACATATTTAATGAATTTCAGCTATGTAATTATAATCTATATTAAATGTTACAAGAACATACATTTAGAAATACAGTCATAATTAGAAGGATTTTAGTTGACTGAACTTTAAAATATTAACTTGAGGAGACATATTCAAAACAGAATAGAGAATATCATGGATGCCAGGCCTTCCGTGGCCCAAAGTGATGCAAGTTAGAAAATTTTAGCCACTGCGGAATAACTCAAAGGCTAATGCTGTGATTTCTATGTTTTAAAAATAAAGATTTCCATAGATCTGTGAGTTAGCCACTTGCTTCTAAACTTGAATGAAAGCTAGCCATCACTCAATGTTGTCTCCTGAAAAGTTTACCAGCTGTTCTACTTCCCCTCTACGGTTTTTCACAGTGGGCAAAAGGGCCACAGTGGCAAAACGAGTATTAAGTTATATGGCCCACAGGAATCCTGGGCTCTAATGAAGATTTTCTTGGACTGAAATATAAGAAAATCACATTTCCTGATTAATTAAAACAAATACTACACATAAGCAAAGTAGCGGGTCCGAAGACCGACTAGGTCACCACTTCTCAAACTTCAGCGTGCACATCCATCACCTGGATCTTGCAGAAATGCAGATTCTAATTCAGCAGGTGTGGAGCGGGCCCGAGACTTCCATTTCTAACCTGCTCTTAGGTGAAACTCAAGCTGCTGGCATCCATACTACTCTCTAGGAAGCAAGTAACTAGATAACCTCAGAGACCATCTGCAGGGCTCAAAAATCATACAATCGGAAACAGGTACTCAGACACAAACACGTACACTCTAGCAGCACTACTGACAACAGCCAGAAGGTACAAACAGGCCCAGCCACCTCCCCTGGTGCAGGAATGGATAAACAAACCATGGTACAGAAACACAGTGGAATATTATTCAGCCATTAAAAAAGAAGTAGTACTGGAATACATCATAATGTGGATGAATCTCAAAAAGACGCTAACTGGAAGAAGGCAACCACAAGAGAGCACATCTGCTAGAACTCCACGAATACAGACTGTCCAGCACAGTCAAATCTGGAGCTGGAACATAAACTCATGGTGGCTGGAGCAGGGGACAATGGAGGACAGCTGCTTCATGGGTGTGGGGTTTCCCCGGCAGAGATGAAAGTGTCAGGGAACTCAGCAGAGGTGATGACTGTACAACACTGTGAATGTAATAAATGCCACTTTTACATGTGACAAAAACACTCTTATAGGAATGTTAAATACCAAAACCCAATATTCAATAATACCCAATAAAAAACAGTTCCCATTATAAAGTAACATTTCTAGAGCTCACTTAATCATTCAGAGTCTCTGTTTTCTCACTGACAAAATGCAGATACCCTGTCCACTGAAGAATTATAAGGAACCAAAGGAAAATGAATGAATTTATTCTGAACCATAAGATACTATATGAACAAATAACTTCTTAAATTTTTTGTTTTCTCAAATTATATATGGTCTCAGCTATGAAAAAGAATACCTGAGGATTTGGTGACTACTGAAAACAGATACTGCTAATAAAGTACCAACTTTCTGGATAGATATTAAAAGTCCTGTAGCAAAGATCAACTTCCAGAAATAGTTCCTTTACACTGTGGACTGTTTTGTTCAGGGTATTATTAGCTACTTCTGACATATGTTAAGAAGTTGACTGTCCTTCTCCTGTATCTTTAAGAAAATCAAACAATTCATTAAATGCCCTGCCCCGTTATCTTTCATTTGAAATGCAAGAACCTATTTAAGTCTAAAAAGAGAAAAAAGTCTCTCCCAAACCTATTAGTGAGGGAATACATGAGCAGCAGCTCTGTGTTTCATTACCTGCTACATAAGATAAGGCAGAGTCTAGCAGTGATTTTTTTCTTAAATGCTAAGCCCCTCTCTTTGAAGGTATGGAGTTATGGAATAGGTTCCTTTGCTTGGAAGAATCGAGCATACATACAAGTACCTTAGCTTGGAAAGAAAAGGTCTGTTAAATGCTTTCACAGGTACACATTTAGAGAAGTTTTTACTAAAAATGCTTCTTGCCACTCTCCCAAATTTCTCTGTATGCAATAAAGAGATAATCTTCCAAATAAGAAAAAAACTTTACTGGGGCACCTGGGTGGCTCAGTCCATTAAGCATCTACTCTGGCTCAGGTCATGATCCCAGAGTCCTGGGATCGAGCCCCACATTGGGGGGGAGGGGGTCCCTGCTCAGTGGTGAGTCTGCTTCTCCCTCTCCCTCTGCCTGCTGCTCTGCCTACTTGTGCCTCTTTCTCTCCGTCAAAAAGATAAATAAGGGGCGCCTGGGTGGCTCAGTGGGTTAAGCTGCTGCCTTCGGCTCGGGTCATGATCTCAGGGTCCTGGGATCGAGTCCCGCATCGGGCTCTCTGCTCAGCGGGGAGCCTGCTTCCCTCTCTCTCTCTCTCTCTCTGCCTGCCTCTCCGTCTACTTGTGATCTCTGTCAAATAAATAAATAAAAATCTTAAAAAAATAAATAAATAAATAAATAAATAACCTTAAAGAAAAAAAAAAAAGAAAAGAAAAGAAAAACTCTTTACTAATAACAGCATTTCTCCCCTCCTCCGTGAAGCAACCATTTGTAAATAGTATAACTTACCGCAAAGATTTTTAACAAAGTTTTCATGTAGAGCTTTCGGATGCCAAAGGAGACTCCAAAAATGGCAGGGACTATGATGAAAACAAGGAGGAGGGTGAAGAGGACAGTCAGGGAGATGCCCAGAAGGTTAACAATCAGGCTATCAAAAGGCAGCAACAGGAACATGGTGGAGGATCCAGGCAAGGCCAGTGCCCGCCCCCAAGAACAAACCACCGTCTTCAGATGGTCCCGTCAGACAGCACCGGCCTGGGAAAGAAAGCGAGTCCCCATAGGATAGCAAACCCCGTTCCAAGTCACATTATTCGACTGCCTGCTGCAGGCAGAAGGACAGTAAAAAGGGCCACAGGAGGCAGCCCGAAAATGCCAGCTCTCCCCAGAATTGATGGACTTTGGAAGTGAATGAGGCAGGACCAATCTTCAGTACAAGCATCCGAGTCCAGGCAGAGTTTCTGTGAAAGTGAGTAGTAAGGGAGGGACCTCTGCTCTGCTACTTTCCGCTCCTTCCAGAAGTTTTACTTTTTCTTTCCTGCTCAAGAGCATTTAACAGATAAATCTGTCCTGAAGATCTGTCATTGCCAGAAGTACCAAGAAGAGTTCAACTTGGTGCCAGAACAATCCTGATAACTTTTGGGGGGGGGGGGTGACTGCTGGCTCTTCACACAGAAGGCTACTGAACTTGAATATGTGGAAATTAAATAATTGTTTTACTTAAAACTCCTTCATAAGCTGAGAACTGTGTTCATTGTAGAGAGTTCACATCTGGCCCCATTCTTCCTCTCAAGAGGCTCCTGGTGCGTGCTGCTTCCAGGACCCTCCAACTGGGAGAGCTACAGTCTTTGCCAGCAGGACACAGATGCTGGCACAGAATGTCTCATGCTGCCTGCGTTGAGTGTAACTCCAGACGTGTCTGGCATTGGTTTCCTCTGGATATTCTTCTCCCTAAGGCCACCTTCTCAGCGGTGACCTGGGTTCTTGGCAAGAAGTTGCTTACATGCTGCCAAAGCTGGGGGTGGAAACAGAAACACCATCAGTCACACAAATCAAGAGGAGAAACATCAATATGCTTTGGAGGTGGGGGGGGGGCTTGTTGTAGAGTAAGCCTAGAGTCAGTGCCAGCTTCTCGAGTCATCAAGGTCAAAGGGAGCAGGCACAGCGACAGGTGGCAGACGCAAATGCAGAAAGCAAATGGAGAGGTTTCATATGGCTTTCAATTCCAACAGATAATCTGTGGCCAACTTTCTGAAGAGAAAAATATATGGATATATGCCACTTTTTAGAAGTCTGGACAAAAAATCCACCATGTATGGATATACACCACGTTTCATTTATACTACGGAAGGAGACCGCCCTCCTACTTGTCCTCAGCTCCCCAGGGTCCTTGTCTGCAGACGCAACCATGTTACCAGCTTCATATTCTTCCCAAGGTATTCTGTGCTGAGGAGGAAATCATAACTTCCTTTTCTGCTTACCCCTCACCCTGACAACAATAATGATGCCATATTCTGCACAGTGTTCTTCAACTCGTGTTTCGGTTTGTGTCTTCAGCTTACTGTGTCTTGGACGAATACGCCATAAGCACATGCAGGGCTCCCTCACTCTCTCCAGGTGCACAGTTCTCAACTTTAAGACTATATATACCAGAGGGGCACGTGGATGGCTCAGTCAGTTAAGTGGCCAACTCCTGGTTTCGGCTCAGGTTGTGATCTTAGGGTCGTGGGACTGAACCTTGCGACAGGGTCCACGCTTAGCAGGGATTCTGCTTAAGAGTCTCTCTCCCTCTGACCCTCCCCATTTGCATGCATGCCTGCACTCTACTCTCTCTCCAACAAATAAATTAATTAAAAAAAAAAAAAAGAAAGAAAGAAAGGAAGGAAGGAAGAAAGACTGTACCATAAGTCAGTTAACTGGTTTCCTGAGGTTGGACACCAATGTTTCCACTTTTTTGTTATTTAAGTAATGTAATGAACAACCCTGTGCATATGTGATAGCATACAAAATGCACATGGAAATATAAATATATTTTCAGGATAAATTCCTAGAAATGGAATTGCAGGGGAAAAGGAAACACAGTTATAATTTTAGAAGATATTATCTCATTTTCTACATGTAGATTAAACTCCAGCTGTCTATCTCCCACACTGGTCACTCTTTTTTGTTTTAAAGACTATTTTCCTTAGAACAGTTTGGGGTTCACAGCAAAACTAAAAGGAAGATAGAGAGATTTCCCACATACCCCCATCCCTAACATGACTAACATATGTACAGTCACCCCATTATCAAGAGCCCCACCAGAAGGGTACATTTGTTACAAGTGTTGACAATCCTACACTGACACATCAGAGTCACCCAAAGTCCACAGCTTATATCAGGGCTCACCCTTGGTGCTGCACATTTTAGAAGTCTGGACAAAAGTATAATGACATGTATCCACCATGATAGTATCATTTAGTATTTTCATTGCCCTAAAAATCCCCTGGGCTCTGATTATTCATTCCCCCCTTTCCTGAGGCCCTACCCTGGCCACCACTGCTCTTTTACTGTCTGGGTAGTTTTGCCTTTTCCCGAATGTCTTAAAATTGGAGTTGTATTTTCAGATTGGCTTTTTCCACTTAATACAGCCACTTATGAACTCCACTATTTTAAATATCTTACAAAAGCATTTCAATTTTATATTACTTATCCCTAACCACAAGTTACCAATGCAAGTCCTGCACTTAGGAAAGTCCTTTCAAATCTCTGGCAAACACTGCGGCTTCACACCACTCATCTTCTGGCTCAGTTCCTACACATTCAAAAGGTCAAGAAATTGAACAAATAAGCAGGTTACTACCTTTACCTTAAATTTTGTCCAGTGACTTTTTAGAACTCTTAGAGCCCTTTCATAGGTTCTTTTATAACCTGCCAACGGTATTATTTCCGTTTTACCAATTAGGAAATGAAGGCAGAGAGAGACAGATCTAGTTCTTCAGACTCCTAACCCAGTACTGCTCCCATTACATTCCCACACATTTAATGATTAAATCCAAAGGACAAGGTATTTCGTGGCACTGAGTCACCAACAGTAGTTCCTATTTTGGGATCCTCCAGTTCTTCCACTTTCACACGGTCATCACCACTGCTAACTTTTACTGCATGCTAACAACACGACAGCGCCTGAGCTCACACGGCAAACATTTTCCATATCTGACCCTCACCTAAGTCTCACAACCCTATGGTGGAGTTTTACTACCACTGCTATCTGACACAGCACGAAACTGAGGCTTAGAGGATTAAGTACGTTACCCAGAATGACACAGCTACCAAGTAGCAGAGCAGGAATCTGGAGCAGGGGATCTGTCTCTCAGCCCATGCTCTTTAACTGGTATGCCCTCCTAGCTCCCAAACTACCCTGGAATAAATGAACACTTCCTTTGTGCCAGGACTGCACAGAACTTTCTGTGGTCAGGGAAAAACCACAAGGCCAATCTGGATTCACGTATCAGAATTTGGTGTTCTCAGAATCCCAGGTACAAACCTGCTCTTTTATATAAACTGGCCAAACTGACTCCACATGCCAGATTTCTAACAACAACCCAACAGAGGTTGAGGAAATTAGAAATATTCCTGATTAATTTGCTGAGTCACTGTATTCTTTAAACCTAATTCCTGCCTAATTCTAGGGCCACATGTCTTCCACTCTTCGGTCTCTGTCTCCCTCGTCCAGCATTCCCCTGGGAAAGCAGCAGCAAAATCCCTCAGTCCCACTGGCCATGATTACCCTGAGTTTCATGGACACAAGGTGACAGACACTGGGGTCACTGTGACTTCCCATCCAAGAGTTTAGATCTCTTTTCTTTGAATCACAATCAACTGACAATTCCCAAGGTTATTCTTGGTTCATGTCCCCAAACATTAAACATATTTAGCAATAAACTAATTTCTTCACTTAGTTCAGGGGTTGGAGAACCCCTGAAGAACCAGGGCCTGTGGGCCAAATCTGGCTTTGGCCTGTTTTCCTAAGACTTGCAAGCTAGGAATGGTTTTTATATCCTCAAAGAATTGTAAAAAAACAAAGAATAATTTGTGACAGAGACCATGGCCAGCAAAGCCTAAAATACTTACTATCTGACCCTACAGTTTGCCAACCCATGGCCCAGCCACTCTTTTCCCCCTGACCCAGGGGCACTGAACTCCCCTCTATGGTCCTGCCCCACCCCTTGAGTTCATGTTTGTAGTGCCAGACTCCAGAACAAAACAAAGAGAACAGTCACCTAGCCAAACAAGTTATCTGGCCCACACTGAACAATCCTCACATAAATTCTTAGAAGTAAAGAGAAAAAGCAAGCAAACTGCAGTTATCAAACAGAGTTTCCAACATCTTGCTGGATTAGCAGAGCAGCCACTGAAACCAGAAGACTGCTGTCTTAGGCCCCCTTAACACAAACTTTGATATCTGGAAATAATATCAGAAAATGAGTCATGGCAGAGCTCTACCATGCCACAATTTCCAGATAATTGTGGATAAATTATCTGGATAATTTCACTTAGGAGAATAATCTCACTTAGGAAAGGATATCCCTTTGCTTCAACTAAATATAACTATGACTCCATAACCATGAGGTAGTATTTGCTCATTTCTCTTAATTTCCACAGCTTTCAGCCAAACTCACAGAAAGTTATTTGCACCAAAGTACCCCTAACGGCCCAAAGGGTCCAGAGAAAAACCTAAGAACCAAGTAGTTATGAGCCTCTTAGAAGACACAACCCACCACTAGCTAAACTCTTTAGCCCACTGAATGGCAAATGGGGCCTTTAGGCCGCCAAATGACCCAATTTCCAGTGTTCCTCAGTTCTCAGAGTGACAAGTTCATTCATTCAACATATATTCACTGGGCACATAATTTATGCCACACATTAGGTCAGGTGGTATTTAGAGGTGAACAAATATGCCTAAAGACAGGTGTTAAGCAAATAAGCATATGCAAAATTTCACACTTTGATGATTGTTAGCAAGAAAAAGAGGATCCTGGAAGAGAAAATAACAGAGGGAACTTCATTTATATCAGCTCATTTAAACCAGTTCTGACCCAATCACAAGATAAGGACTATTACGATTCTAACTACAGAACCAAATATAGCTGACCCTTGAACAGCAATACAGGTCTGAATTGTGCAGGTCCACTTACATATGGATTTTTTGGAAAAATATAGCGCCATAAATGTATTTTCTCTTCCTTGTGATTTTTTTTAAAGATTTTATTTATTTATTTGACAGAGAGATCACAAGTAGACAGAGAGGCAGGCGGTGGGGGTGGGGCAGGGAGCAGGCTCCCTGCTGAGCAGAGACCCAGATGCAGGGCTCAATCCCAAGACCCTGAGATCATGACCTGAGCCAAAGGCAGAGGCTTAACCCACTGAGCACCCCCCCCCAACTTCCTTATGATTTTTTAAAAATGTTATTTATGTGAGACAGAATCTGTGCATGCACACGCAAGAGAGAGAGCAGAGGGGGAGGGAGAAGAAAAGGGAGAGAATCTCAAGCAGACTCCATGCTCAGGGTAGAGCCCAGAGCAAGGCTAGATCTTACAACCCTGAGATCATTACCCGAGCAAGCGTAAACCAAGAGCTGGGGGCGGGCGGTGGGGTGCCTGGGTGGCTCAGTCATTGGGTGTCTGCCTTTGGCTTGTGTCATGATCCCAGGGTCCTGGGATCAAGCCCCACATCAGGCTCCTTCTCCTGCTCCTTCTGCCTGCTTCTCCTTCTCCCACTCCCCCTGCTTGTATTCCCTCTGTCAAATAAATAAATACAATCTTAAAAAAAAAAAAAAAAAGAAACTAAAAGATGGACACTTAACAAACCAAATGAGCCACCCAGGCTCCCCTCGTTATGATTTTCTTAGTAACATTTTCTTTTTCTAGCTTCCTTTTTTATAAGAACACAGCATATGGTACATATACAAAGTATGTGCTAATCTAACCGACTATATCAGTAAAGCTTCCAGTCAGTAGGCTGTTAAGTTTTAGG